GTGACGACTCTAGGCGACTAGCAGGCGGTCGGTTATGCCGGTTTGCCTGCCGCCTGGGCTTGGCTCTAGTTAGTCAGCGAAAACATTCTGGGAGAACATTGCATTCTGGGTGTTTTACATGGTTGCCAGACACTGTGACAGGGACATTTGTGGTGTTGGTCGTTTTGCTCAGAAGTGTGTTGTGTTCATTAAAAATGGGGGGGTCTGAAAATACCATTTCAGTGGTTCACCACTCTTTCCTGTCCATTGTCGGATTGTTCAATTAATACTGGATAATTTCTATATGAGGGTTGTGAAAGTGCTGTAATGAAGGAAGACTATGCTCCTTTAATGCTGAATATAGAGTGCTCATTATAAAGCCCAAGTGAATGTCCGGGTTGATCTGCTCTTCAGATAAAGCCTAGTGTAAACAGATCAGGTTTTCATCGACTGACAGCCAGATGCAGACAGGCGACGTCAGATAATTGGTCCCTGTAATGTGTTTTCTGCCCATTAATTAGCTTTGGGCTTTGCTAAAATAACGAATGAATAAAAACTTATTTGTGAAGGCAAATATTCACCAGTAGTTAGTGGTGGTGGCATGTAGTTATTTAATGCTTAGTTTGATTAATTTAATTGGAATAAAAGGCTTTTTGAAGGTTTTATGGCATTACCCATGCAGTTGTGCTCCCTCTGCCATCTGTCCGTCAATCCAGGCACTTCACCATCTTTTGATAATAACCACTTAGTTTGGGTTGTGATGATCTCTGAGGAAGTATGAAGGGTCAGTCAGGGTATAATGCAGAAGAGACACCAGTCCCTAAGTAGAAAAGCACATACTGACAGGCAGGTAGAGAAGCAGACAACTTAACCCTTTGAGTCTCGAAGCAGCACTGATTGCTCACCCATTTGCATATAGCACTATTCATATGATAGCGATACAATAATCCCACGGATGTTACTGGGTCAAAAAAACGTGTGAAACCTCCCATAAACAAGAACACATGTCTGGGTTTTGTTTACACTGATTCTGGAGCTGCAACCTTTTATTTTGTGATGTGAGAGAGTTTTCACTGAGGAAATGCGGTAAATATACATCACTTAAATTCATAGATAACTGAATTCATAAACTACAAATGTCACTTGTTTTCTAATTTTGATTGCTACTGTAAAAACTTGTCTTTACAAATGCATGCAAACTGTAGGTAACTGGGTTGTTTTTTTGGTGTTTTTCACTACCTTTAGATTTAGTATACAAAGCAATAATTTTATCTGTAAGGTACACACATGATAACTACTTACAAAGAACATGGAAACCCCAGAGTAACTGGCACAGATTGGGGCACACAAAGGTAAACACACTTAAGAACATAAGAAATTTACAAACGAGAGGAGGCCATTCGGCCCATCAAGCTCATTTGGGGAGAACTTAGCTAATAGCTCAGAGTTGTTAAAATCTTATCTAGCTCTGATTTAAAGGAACCCATGGTTTTAGCTT